CGCGTGCCATCCCTTCGGAGCAACGATTCCATTATTCAATTCCGAAACGGAATCGTATGCACATTTCCACGAGTGATGACCGATGCGCTGAGCAACACTGCGTATAACAACACTGTGTCCGACAGCACTGCATCCGACAGCACTGCTTTCCATTGCGCCCCTTTCGTTGTGAAACGTGTTCAAACTTGGCTTGCCTTATGGGGTCATAAGAGGGGAGGTCAAGATTTGCAACTGAAATTTTGCTTCGAAATCGAGAAATGTCTCGATCCTTTGAGCTGTGAACCTTACGGGCATGACAAGGTTTTCAAGCCTTGTCATGCCCGTATTCGAAGTACAGAGTGGGGCAAAAGTCACTATGCAGTTGTTGAGTTGATAGTTTAAGTTCTAACGCCATATATTGACCGTTGTTTACAGCAAAACACAAATAACGGGGGAAAATGATCGCGCAATGTGATTTCAAAAGCTACCAGCAGTATTACTCAGAACCACAGATGAGCAAATTAGCAAAAGAGCTATTTCTTCGGCACACAAGAACTGCATAGTGATTTTGAATAATAATAATCCAAACGTCCAATTGTGCAGGCTTTGTCTCGTTATCGAAGCGGTCACGTTTCTCCCGCTGATGGAGTTGCAGTCTGCGTGGGGTGCGGTTAGATGCAAAAGGTATCTGGGATTTCCTTAGCTCCTGGCTGCGTGATTATTTTCGGGGTGCGAGAAGCGTTCGATGCCGAATCGGGGTTTGCTGTTGGACGTCAGATTGGCAGGACGGTGTGAGCGGATGCAACGCGAAGCTCGACGATGTATCGCATGATGCATCAAATACGCTTTACGTAGCACAGACGACACATAAAATGCCGATTTCCCACTTCACGGCAGCAAAAAGCGGCAAGACGCCGCGCGCGTCCTCGCTCGGAGGCGGCCAGGCTGCGACTGAACCCGCCGAGGGAGCAGCCCCCCCCCCCCCCCCCCTCCCTCCCGCTGCCTTCTCGGTTTCCCGCTTCCAGGCGGTCGAGGGGATGCGAGGAGGTCGATCGGCGAGGGCGTGGGCATCCCCACCCCTACCGCTGCTTCAATATTTAATTTTTTCCCCTTTGTCGATGCTATCGGGTGTTGTCTCCTCGCTCTTCCCCTTCAACGCTGCTAATACGGTTTTTATTCCCCCGAGAGCTCGCATTCGCCTTTCATCCTCTATTGCACAAATTGGGACTCGAAAAAAAATTATTTCACATGTTTCTTGTTGCTGCCCGAGGCTTTCCCATGGGTCCATAGAGACTGCAGGAGATTACCTTCTGATGAGGACCACGCGACATGCTTCGTTCGCTGCAATAGACATTTACATTTGGGGCAGCTATCGTCTTTGTGAAGTTCATGAGTTTGTGAAAGTGGTTGCAAGTCAAATAAGCGAGACGTCTCATGGAGAAGAGAATGCATGAACTAGCGATGGCTGAAACCCATTAGGGCACATTTTTTAGTCCCATTTTTCTGATTTTTCTTTGATCCAACGAAAAAGAGACAGAAAAGTATACTTCCCTCAGAAGTACCTTTTGACAGCTGAGTAGAGGAAAAAATCCTAATTTTGAAATATGACTTCTTAGCGTAAATTATTGGAGGGAAGTATTTCAAAATGTATTCTCCACCCTTAAAAAAAGGGACACAATAAAAGATTTCAAATTAGGCACATATAGAATCATAGAGGTAATGATTTTGATAAAAATCAAGACTTTCAACCCCATATGTCATGTATTTCAATGGGGACGTACTTTAAATATGTGTTTCCCATTTCGCAAAAAAATAGAGACATAAGGAGAAGAGGAAAAAAACGGCTGACAAGATTCTTCGCCATTAGCAGTTTTTACATCGAGAAGAAGAAACGGATTTTCTCTCAGAGCCAACTGGGAACGATCTGAAACAATCTTGAAATGAAACTTTTACTCCATACCGTTACATAACGTCACATAAATTTCCATGTGCGTTTCTTAAAGCACAGTTCATCCCGAAAGCCAAAAACTCAAGTGCAGCGTAGGTTCTGCAATCGAAGCATTTCTGCGATTCAAGATGTGAAATGCTATGCATCCGAAATTGTGCGACCTCATGTAGGAGGCCTCTTTGCAGTAACTGATATAACTATTGCATTATCACGATACTGTGATGACGAAATATTTATCTAACATATATAGATGATCGTGAGTGAGTGACTCAAATATCTTATTCATCACAAAGGCGAACTCGAGCGACCATGACGACGGCGTCAACTCGTCCAGAAATGAACCTCATCTTGCCAAAAAAAATTGCATTCGTGCTTTGCTACGACTAACAAAATGAAGAAAAAAAAACTTTCGTCGCGTAACAGGCTTCCCAACTGCAGAAAGCTCTACTAGCGATATCAAGCAGGAAAAAATTGCAGTTATTTTCCCATATAGGATGAAATTATTTGAGTCCTAATTTACGTGCGTCTGATAATTCCGAATAATGAAGTGACGAGGTGATATCTGTAGTATTCGTTCCTGGAAAATAGAGTCGAGGCATGGGGCATGGGGCGAGGGGTCGAGGCAACGACCTTCGTTCGGATCCGAATGTCGGTCGGAGCCGAACGTCGGTCGGAGCCGAATGTCGCTCGGCGGATCGAGAAGGTTCTCGATCAACATTTTCAGTTTTCCGGATCTGTTATTCTTCTCCCTGTGCTTAATTCTCATTCTAGATCGATATTCCGTTATGAACGGGACTGTTCGTTCGCTTGGACTCTGGAACCGAAATCTATACCCAGCTAATGCAGTCATGCAGTCATTGGCCGGTATTCAAGAACCTATCGCTTGGTAGCCTATTACATGGTAGTTATGATAGGTATCAGGCGATAGGTCTATAATTTGCTAGGTTCCATATGCAAGAACAATTAATAGGCCTACAGTGATAGCCATCATGATAGGTATTCGCCATTCTTCTAGATGCCAACTTCCTATTCATCGGGTTTCGCGCCCATCAGCAATGGCCGTGTCTATGCCTAATCTCATTATGACTGACGAGAGTGCTTTGTGCTGATTCAACGGTTTCATTCTGACCCTGTATATTAGACTAGTACTTGAATTCCGATTGCCGTGATTTGATCCGAATTGTAGACCATATTGATATTTAGTTTAGCCAAAACCGATCACTTCCATGCTGCATAATAACGTCATGCTCCCTCACCACGAACAAACTCACCTAACCGTGTTGGTGGAGAACAAGGCCGCTCTGAGTAAGAGTCGACTTCCCGGGGTTAAGGAACGCAAAGAAGCCGCCCCATGAGTGAGTTTGAAGCAGAAATGCTCAAAGTAGCAAGAGAGAAACATGCGAAAGAGATGCAGTTATGGGTGGAAAAGCAGGAGAAGGAGATGCGAAGATTGAATCTGGAGATTGAAGTTTTGACCCCACAAAAGAGACAAACTTGTTAGAAGCGAAGATACTGGATCGGTGGGACGGCATTATCCGTACATGGATTTATCGGCCTGACAAGAATAGGTTGTGACCTTCGAAAAAAACGTGCATTCCTGTTGGCAATTGTATGGCTAATTTAAAAAGTTATGCATCTCTGACAGGTTTTATTCTTCACCCAGCCCATTCCATTGGAAGTAACACGACATGTAAAGCAATGCATTACGATTACACGACATCAGAATTTTTCATTGCGCTAAATAATTCACGATTTTGCGTCTCTCAACCTCCCCTCGAGCCCTCAGATGTGCTGCATTAGCGTCCCTGAAGTCAGCAAGTGCAACATTTATATCCTCAATGTCCGCAGATTCTTGCTCCCCAACTTCATTGGCATCGAAATCTGGATCTTTGAATTCCTTAGCAAGGTTGTGGAGAATGAAGCAAGCCATGATGCCTGATGAAAAAACGCCTCTTCAGTTGCCCGAAAGCTTGTTCGACACTGATCCTCGTCGTCTTGTGGACATCGTTGAATCGTGCTTCGTCCTCAGTAGCAGGGTGTCTGAACGGTACTATCAGAAAAGTGGTGAGGGCATATCCCATGTCTCCCAAAAGAATACCATTCAACTCGCCACGCAAGAGCTTTTCCTGCAGCTCTGAGTTTTGGAATATCCTGCTGTCGTGAACAGATCCCGTCTAGGATGCATCAACATCAAGATAGGTAGCGGACTGCCTGAAGTGTTTTGCTTTTCCAGAGAAGGTCGAAGTAAGTCGGTGAGGCTGATCAAGCTGGACCGTTCGAATCTGAAATCGAGCGGAGCATCCTTATACGAGACAGAAATACAGGCTTTTGCGACGAGTACATTTTTAAAAGAAAATTTGAGCCACAGATAGGCATATTCCCATATGTCTTATCTCGAAAGCTCGGACATTAGGACTTAAAGCTTACTTGCAAGATCTCACCTGAACAGATTCTTCAATTCCACATTGTCATAGACCTCTACGGGGTTTAATCTGTCCCGGAACAGCCGCTCTCGGGGAAGTTGCGCCGGTTCACACGATTCCCAAGGTTAACAAAATTCACCACACCCATTCCGGTAGCTCGTAATAAGCAGAATAAACAAGCCCTGGATCAAAATAGATCGAAGCGATCATTACGCCTATCATGATACCTTATCATGATATGTATAAAATGTTTCTGCATACGGCCAACTTATCAAACCTTTCAGACCTATCATATGATACCCCAAAATACCTACTTTATCGGTTTTATACGTTCTTGCATAACAGCCAATGACTGCATGGCTACATTATTCAGTGGAAGCAAATTGCAGGGGCGTGAAGAGGAATAGGGAAAGTGGGGCAAAATGGGGCGAGGGGCAAAACGGGGCAACTCAGATTTTATCCAAACCTTACTCGATATCTATCGGATTTTATTGTATCACCCCCCACCACATGTGCAATTTTTCAGGCACGGCGGCGCTCAGTAAAGTAGTTTGCAAACATCCTAGGAGCAAAATAAGAAAATACAGACTTTTCTTATTTTGTTTCGCGTTTTTGATGAACGAAATGAATTAACAGGAGAACATTGAAGGCGTCCGATATTTTATTTGGCGAAAGGTGAAAATGTGAACTGTTGCATCACGTCATAACATATTGCGTAGCTCACTCGCTTATTTTTTGGCAATGTCTTACGCGGTCGGGGCTAGAATATCCATTCGGGCAGTGAGACTCTCTTGAGTTTCACCTCAGCATGTCGTCCAATCGGGATGTTCCTTCGGTCTGCAATTGAGCGGGCACTCGTCGAAGATGGGAGGATGTCGGGTGCCCGAGCCGAGCCAGAAGCCACCTGGTCGGCGAGTCGGGAAAGCCCTCGTCTCTCCGTCGCCGAACTTGTCGCAGTGGAAGCTGGCGTGCACCAACTGCAAGAGGCGTCCCAAATCAGGCCTTCGATGCTCTCGAGGGACTTTTTCTAGGAGGAGTGAGGCTTACGAAATCTTGGTGGGCTTCCGGCCACAAGACATTCTTGAGGAGTTGTTGATCCCAGCCGTCGTTGTTGCTGCGTCCACTCTCAAATATCAGCTTCCTCCCCAAATGTTGAACGTGACCTCTGTTCTGTGACACCTTTGCGCCCCAAAGACCTGAGTTCGTTCGTGTAGCATACGAGGTACATGCGCGCACGCTTATCTCAGTTCTTATTCGACATTTTTTTTTAGCTCTCCAGAAGAAAAAAAAAGAACTCACCGGCGAATGCAGGTTCCCAATGATGGGGATGATCCCTCATGGCATGGAAGATATATTTGCTCTCCAGCCACTCCTTCACGGCTGCTGCCTCCCGCTCTGAGAGCGGGGAATCTGAGTCTCTAATGGTGAATCAAAAACAGACGCTTCAATACGAAGAATTGAATTACCTCTGTGAAGCTTTCCTGTCTCCGAGGCCTCCGGAAACAAAGAGACAGTGTACGTAATATTATCCTGAGTCCCATTTCATTCTCGAAAAAGGGGAACCTTTTCCCTCTTGCCATCCAGTGACGCGGAGACAGAACGGATTCAAGCTGACCTGGACACAAAGATGTCAACGAGGGGATCCATCATCGGCAGGAACCTCCACACCCTCCCGTTGCTCTGAACTCTCTGGATGTCTCCGGAGAGCCCAGGGAGACTCGCCACGTGGCAGAAATCCACTGAAG